AAGCGAGTAATAATTAGAAAAGGACCTTTTAACGCTAAATAATGTAATGTACTGCTTTGGGACTTGATTGTCTGAGATATTATAAGTACTAGCAAAGTAAAGTATCAAAGTCTTGTGTGAATACAAAATTTAAGAAATACTTCCAAATCAAAAGAGATTCTGGCAAACACAAATTTTAAATAGACGCTATCATAAAAATTAAAATTTCCTTGTTAACCTACCGTTCCGATTTTGTAAATATTATTAAACAGGCTGAAATTTTAACGTGAATGTAGATATCATTTGCAATTACGAGGGCAATTTATATCTTTACCCCCCCCCCTCCTCACTCAGCTGAAATCTTAAAATTTTAAAAAAGTTACTAAGAGTGAAATGACCAAATGAATCAGTGATTTGTGTCTGTATTCCGCCAGTGTACAGTAATAAATTTAGTTTGGTGTTGTCATGTGTACTACAAGATCGGAAACAATAAAAACATGAATTGCAACTGCAATAACACAGTAACAACAGTAACATTAGTGCATTGACATGCTTGCACTAGTGTGGAGCTCGATAAACACAAGTACTGCTTACATTTACCTATTTCTCATAACACAGTGCTTAATAAAAGTAAATACTAATGACAGGTTAAGTTGACTTTCACACATTTATATTACGTTTCCGTGGATTACTTATTGTGTTCTTTCGCCTGTACACAAGTGTAAGCATGTTAATGCACTTAAACATGCTTTGTTATTATAGCCGTAATCAATGTTCTTATTTTTTCCAATCTTGTAGTACACGTAATAACACCAAACAAAATTTATTACTGTATACTAACATAATACACACTCAAATCACTGATTCTTGTAGTCAATTCACTCTAAATAACCATTTTTTAAATTTATTAAAGAATTTTACTATAAGGCTCCACGCATTCTGGCAATATTAGTGAGGGATAATTTCTCTCACTCGACGGTGCCACCTGACATAGGCGCATAGCGAATGGAGTGTAAAATTATGTACACACCACACATATGGGTGAAACTAAAAAATTCTTAGATCTCGTATTTGTAAATATTGGCCTCACCTTAAGTGTGCCAATAGCTATCATTAATACATGCATAAGATAAAATAAAGCCAACTGTATCAGTCAATAGCTTAACTGTACTAAATTAATTGACGTAATCAAGCAGCAACGATAAAAATACAATAAGATCTAAGGTTACAAGGTATATTTACAAGCAATAAAACAGTCACTCACGAATCTCAAACAAGACAGATACAAGGCTTGAGCTGTTATTAATGTAAATGTAGAGAACATAACTTACAACTGAATTAACAGATTTTATATCATAAGTGATAAATTATTACTCAAATGTTAAAGTAGCCTAGTAACAGGTGTTTTAATAGCTCTGAATGTTTTTTATTTCTTTATACCGTTTTAGGTCATAATAATGTGAAGAAATTTATAAAAAATGAACTTCTTATATATTTTTATTATCTAACACTGAGACTTACAGTTTCTGCACACAAGCTGACAGTTATTATTAATATGTTTTACAACGAAGGAATCCACCACAGTTTTTCTTTCATACTTAAGAGATTATCTGGTTTATTCACTATCCCCTTTATTTACTAGATTTGCTGTAAAAAATTATAGTACCAGCATGGTTTTTAATGCGTTGAATATATGTAAATATAAGTTTTAACCTAGATTTTTGCTTGTTTTTTTATTTATTAATAATTTGATATCCACTGAATGATTGTTTAAGCAACCGTTATGTGATCGTTAGATATATTCTTCTTCTTATAAAATAATATGACCTCAATCTTGACGTTGATTATTGAGATATTAACAGATGAAGAGGCAAAAAATGTGTACTCTCGTTAGATGCCATGTTAAACTGGAAGATACATTCTCTTTAATAATTGGCTTTCAAAGCTGTGAACAATCTTGAAATTTTAACTGGAACTTTGTCTTACAATTATTGACCTAGATTTCAAATATAATGAGAATCTTGACCGTATTATACATAAGGGGGATACTTTCTTAAAAATTATTTATTGAAGCTGTTTTTCTGTTTTTTGGCATTAATAGTCAGACTGTAACGATACGGTAGTTGGCAAATAACATCCGTGTTTTTCGGAACAGTGTAAGTTTCTTACCTAACTTTATTATATTACAAAGGTTTTTGAAATCTTCAAGACGATTTTGGAATAACATTCTGTAAAATTCTTTTTTTACTTAAAAAAAATTCTTTCATAAAGAAATTTTTTTCATGTGTGCGAAGAATTTCTTCATTTATAAAGATCTTATGGTCCAAGGTATTAGTTTCATACCATCTTTGTTAAAGACTAAGATCCCAGCAAATACACCAATAATCTCAGTTACAGAGCCATCAGTTTAGTTCTGTCATCGTTAATTGGGCAATTAACTGCATACTCTTAAAGACAACTGAAGCCTTACCCACTGTATTTAAAGCTTCCCACCTCAAAGGCCGTCTTTCAGAAGTTTAGCGCTTGACGTGGAGTGATCTTGAAAGAACTCGCTTCTTCTCTAGAGTGGGACTGATAAATAACTGAGTCTACCAGTATTACTGGCTAGCAAATCCCTCACCCGCAATCAACAAAAACTTTGAAGCTGGAAAAAGCACTTAAAAGAGCTTAATACATACTTACACAAATTACAGAACTAAGGAAGAAGCACTGAAAATAAAATAATCAAAGAAGAAAAATGCAAGATACATAGTTTTTTAGCTTTAAGAAGTTGCTGAGAAAGCTTATGTAGGAGACACACAAGCAGCCACTAGGACAACTTATCTGCGAGGCCTGCAGTCACAACGTCTGACAATCAGTTTTACAAAATCAACATCAAAGCTCGTGAACACGAATCACATTGCAGGCTTTCACATCTGGCAAGGAGGCCTTGAACGAAACAGAAGCAGGTATCAGCCTTTTTAGTAACCGTAAGTAACACTACCACTATCTGGTGCTTAACTGCTGTTGGCGCATAACATCTTTCACCCAAGGAAGCAGACAGTTAATGAATACTACCACCGTAATTAAACATCAACATCAACAACAATACCATCTAGCTGGCCAATTATGTGTCACTGAACAGGACTACGTTTACAGTTACCCCATCAACTAGCAACTTTACTGGGGCTCCACTCACATGTAGAAGGGACTGTACAGGCAGACAGAACAGTCTTGTCTAGCCAGAGGCACTTGCTCAATCTCTACTGATATCCCAATTTACACCCCCAGAGATGGTTGATCGCTAACCGTACTTATCTCAATAGCACGGACTCAACTGGCAATCTGTATTAGTTGTGAAATCATTATAATACTATGACCCGCATTTTTTGTCCCCAATTGTTGTTGGGGTACATGTCAAAAAGAAAGTACACTAACACAACAGATCGCAAATTTAGTATTAGCAATATCACTCTTCTACATGGTACCATAAAGCTTCTTGAGGCAAGTGAGCTATAAAAAATCATAGCTCTCAATCTTGCGGGCCAATATTCTAAAAACTCAAAAGAAGGACACTTCACACTTATCTTCAGAGATCTCTTCAGCTAACTGCTCAAAGCCTTTCTGTTAGGTTTAACAGAGGTATCACAAATAACTTAAATCATTGGTTAGTTTTTAATACGGTGGGATTATTCTCAAAGATTTATTTGAATATTGGGTTACACTCAGGACAACAAATGTTGACCACCGTCAAGCAAACCCTATTGTTCTATTGAACAACGGACTCAAAAAATTAGGAAAGACTTTTATTTATACCTACATGGACAGTCATACCACCAGTTGGACTATCCCTGACTAGGCTACTCTACAAATGATACATCGTCACAGTACTGTTACCAGAATATCTTTGGCTGAACTCTTATTGGATAATAATGCATCCCTCCCAATATAATAAATGTAGCAAGTTTGTACGCTAAATTTTTATCGTGTACTATTATCATCTATGAAGTTGATACAGCCACTCATAAGAGACCTTCCAACGTACTTGGACAAATTTCCATCCTTTTTACATACTTTTTTAACTCCCCATCAAAATCTTCGAATTAGTGTTGAATTCCACTTGCTTGGATATATGAGTTATTAATCTCAGGCAAAAACTGGTATTTTAATTCACACAGCACTTAATGCAAAACCGCACCTTGGCTGGTGGCATCAGCCCCATAGCATTACTAACACTGTTTTAGGTTTATCTCCATAAAGCAGTGAGTTTCAATAACAGTGAGAGAAGGCTCGCAACTGTCAGTGCCCCCAACTTTTCTATCTTTACACATTGTAGCGTGATTCCAAAGTTTTGGATGGCAGCTCTCAGAGCTACTCCCAATAATAAAAGGCTAGTTATTACCCGATGACAGCTCGTCACTATGTTTGATCGTATTCAGAAGCAGTACTTATAGTGCACAAGAGAAAAAGAGAACAGATAAGCAGCTGCCTACTGCACATGTGTGAGAGACACGAAGGAAAACAGAAAGAGATAGAGAGAAAAGAAGATCAACCCAATACAGCAGCAGCTTTTATCTATTAATTTTAAACTTTTATTAACAGAGTGGTTACCGGAAAGTTGAACAATATGGAGGGGAGATTTTGTACTACATCGCATATAATGATCCACACATAAGTAAATAATAGAAAGCCAGACGTTATTGTACACATCTATATGTGCGTTTGCTTACTCGCTTGCTTTTTCGATAAATTAATCTTTAATACACAACTTGCCGTAAAAAGTTGTACCTTACGAAACCTATAAATCTTATCTAGGAACATTATAGTTGATAAAATCAAGCTGTATGTAGATATTCCGAGTGCACTATTGGCAAAAAATAATTTGTTTATGTTGTTACACAACTTGATGTCCATAGTTATTCTTCACTTCTTTGACAACGTTTACCTGATAGTGCGACACTTTTGTAATGACAAAACATAATATAACAATTTTCAATAACAAAATATTTATGTTAAATAAAAAATTTGATTTTAATACATACCTGGCAAGTTATCCCCACCTCCAGTCACGTACTGTCGAACTAAACAGAAAAAAATTAATGTTTAATCAAAACAGGTTCGAAGATTCTTCCGCATCTAATTATTAAAATATTCTACTTATTAGTAAATGTAAGAATTAATAATATTGAAAAAACTTAATAGAAATATACTGTTCTTTAAAAAATTTTTCGTTGCATAAGCTCAAAAGAAGAATTATTTACTTGAACCGTGATGCATGGATATCATATAAACTGTTTACGTCATAGTAGGAATGAATTTTATCATGACTAAGCATAAGGCTTAATTTAGTGAGCGTTTTTTATCTTTTGACAGCGAATATATTTTTTATTCATGAACATTCGAAATATATGAAGATTTTATGCACCCTTTAAAAGAAAAAGATATTTCTGTAAATCTTAGGAGTTTTTAGAATAATAGAGTTTTAGTATCTTATAATGAAACTATTTGTAAGTAATTATTTATGAAATAACTAATGATAATGCAGTTCAATCAGTTTAAAGTAGTTTTATCTTTAGCACTGTAAGAATCTATTCATTTTATTTACTGTGCTCGGATAAAAAAATTAGGAAGAAGAAAAATAAAGTATAAATTAAAAACGAATGAAGTGAAGAAGAGACTAAGTAATAAACGTCAGTTTAATTTGTATTAAAGCTTGTAAAAAATATTTTCGATTGACATTTGAGGGTTGGCGTACAAAATTCGCAGAAGGCGTAGCCCTATTATCATAGAATGTAGTAGAGATTTGCCCATCCTGTGAGCTCTGAATACTAACTCCTTTCAACAAAAAATAATTTTTAATTATGCAAAATACTTTTTTTTCCAGTTTCTTTATTGAATCAGTGATCATCAAGCCTTGTAATGCAAGTATTATTAATTAATCAGATATGACGAAAAATGACACTCCTGAGTTCTTCGTTTTCATGATAATTGAGCGTAAACAAGTTCATTTTGCTTATCTAGTTTTGTCTATAGTAACTCCAACACAAAAAAATTTTTTTTTCGATATAATATAAAATCAACCTCAGGTTAAATAAATGAATTTTCAGCAAAAAAATATTTTACATTTTTAGAAATGAGTTATGTCAACAATATTGACCAAATGCTTATTTACTAGTAAGTTTAAATTTAAGTTATAAAATACTTGTGACCAGACACATTGTTTGATTGGTCATCCATAGATTGGGACTTAAAAATATATAATGTTGTGCAGCAAGTAATGTATGTAAAAAAAAAAATCTTAAATTACATCTCAGATGATACTTAAAAACAATTGATATCCTGAACACATAATATGAAATATTATAAATAGTGCTTGCGACACTTATGTTCTTACTTAGAAAATAGCCGCATCAGTATTTTAATTTATGATCTAATAGTTGTCTTACAAAAAAGTTGTTTAAGGCAAACATAAAACTGTCACATTAATAATTAAATTTCTGTATCTGTTTTAATACTGCACTGTATGTTTAACTACATTTGCAAAGAAAATAACAAAAACTCATTTTTAAACTAATAGACAAACCATAAAAATATTTTAGATCTAGCAGCCCCCCGTCCCGGCTTCGCCCGAGACTTACTGAATAAAACACCGTAGTGTGTTGACATGTAATGTGAAACATTTTCAGTTAGAAATTTTACACATATTCCTGATACATCTCAGAACAAAAATCTTCTTATTAAAAACATATTTTTTCGGAATCCATATAGTTTATTTGGTCAAATAATAAGGTGTAAAAATTCAAAAAAATAATTATGCTGAAAAGTACCGTGCGTTCTTTATGCCATAAAATAATCGGTGGCCATAAGAAGCCGTTGATTTACAGTTTCTCCCGTGTAATTCACGAAAACGGCTATTTTTTAAAGCTGTTAAGATTTTAAACCCCCAAAAAATTTATATTAAAAAAAAATTTTTTTTCTCATATCTCACAACTTTATTACCAGAGCAACAAAGTCCTGGACCTTAAACCCTACATTTTTATTGCCACAAAAACACAAATACATTTTCTACTCATTAAAAAATCTGAAGTAGGATCTTTAAAGATTTCAGAGATTGCTGTGAGGGTACAATGAAAAGCTGATCTCTCACGTAATGGACTCTTTAGTTGTCGATTTTGACGCTGCTGTTTCAATCTCGATAAATTTTCTGCGTCAGTTTCTTGACGCCTAAGTAAAATTGTATTTATTAGATACACTTGAAGTTTTTCTTCCAATTCACCCTCTTGCGACTTTTGGCATGCTTAAAATTTTTGTGACCCCTAAAGGCTGTTTTCTGTCAACTTTGTTAAGTTCTAATATATTTGTTGGCAAGGTAGTTCGACGTCCGATGGCCCTAAAAAAGACCGGTGAGCTTCTTAAGTTAACTCTTTCTTGACTGCAGTTAACAGCAATTGTGACTGCCTGGATACCTCAGGGTGATCTTCTCTGGCTTGCTGTTGAAGACCCAGACTGATTGGGAGAAAAATTACAAAGTCCGAAGCTTTGGGGCTAGTTGTAGTGCTCTTTCCCAACGTCTCCCGGTATAACGTCGAAGACGTTGGTGTCTAAAGCACCTTTTTTATTTGCAGATTCAGTTGTTTTGGTGATCTTAGATGGGGAGATTGGTTAGTGATACTTGTCCAGTGGAGGCTGTCCCGTTGGCTCAAGTTTTTTTTCCTACATAGCTGTTATAGGTTTACCCAACGCAGACTTTGGAGAGGATCAGAGATTCCTGGTTGAATGCTTTGAGTCGAGAGGGTATTATAGGGTCGTTGGTCATCCGGTTTTTCAGCCTTGCGAAGAACAATTCCGCAGGTAACGTCTGCTAGTAAATGGCTGACTTGGTTTAATAGTGCCCGTCTTTAGTTAATATATAGTCTTTTAGTCGACGAATCGCTTTCGGAAATGGTAATAAAAATGTATTTGTTGGCAAGGTAGTTTACACTTAGGTGGATCCTAAAAAGAACCGATGAAATTGATGGTTAAGTAGGGAATTTAAATACTTATACTGGCGCTAAAAAGCGCCAGTGGTGAAACTTCCAGGCTATTCTTATTTCTGATGATGAAGAGCTAGCTACGGTTGCTTGATTCTTACCCTGGGAGTCTCGATGTACGGAGACTGCGATGGAGGAAGGTACGCTGCTGACCAAAGAATATCTCGTCTCGGGTCGTTCCCCAGATAACCAACCGCTCATCGTTAGACGGGAACATGTGGGTAAGCGCATTGGGAACGCGACGACCAAGAAGGTAGCCGTTGTGGCTGCCCATGCCCCTCAGAGCTCAGAGCTGTTTTTTCTTGCTTGCATTCGTAGCCACAAATTCTCTAACTGCACCAGGTGGGATGGTGGGACTCCCTCACAACTCTGATAAGTTGAACCAGATTGTGGTCTGGCTACGAGATGGCATCGGTTGGAATTTATTTTTTTTTTGATCGCACTCGTCGAGTTTCAGGGTAAATGGACACCTAGGTCCCTTCCCCCTTAGAGAAGAGTGTCGTCCGTTACCGGGATACCCAGCTGCAAGACTATCATCAGCATTCTCCATGCAGCTCGTTGAGTTGCCGAAACTCGACTACAATACTATGGAGACGCTCCAGCCTATTATAACCACACTTATTTAATTATGTTGCAGGTAGCTTCGATTTTATGTCGACGCCACCTAGCGGATTTTACTGAACTAAAGAGGAAAGCTGGCATATTTTTGCAAAACTTTGAGCTCATTTATTGCTATTGTTATCAAATTTTTTATGATAAAACTATGCTTAAACCATCTAGGAAGTATCATGAATCAGTGTGCAAAATTTCAACAAAATCGGTTCAGTAGTTTTCGCGGTTAGCGATTACAACGGTTTTAGCCCTTCTGCTTTATATATTAGTAAGATATAGCCAGGGTTATATCCTATTTAATTAGATCCATCAACTTTCTATTGATTTAAATGTAATTAAGGATATTAGAAAATGGTTAAAGGTTAAAAAAGTTTATTAAGCAACTTATTAATAGAAAATACTTTCAACGAGTCACGTACTGTCGAACTAAACAGAAAAAAATTAATGTTTAATCAAAACAGGTTCGAAGATTCTTCCGCATCTAATTATTAAAATATTCTACTTATTAGTAAATGTAAGAATTAATAATATTGAAAAAACTTAATAGAAATATACTGTTCTTTAAAAAATTTTTCGTTGCATAAGCTCAAAAGAAGAATTATTTACTTGAACCGTGATGCATGGATATCATATAAACTGTTTACGTCATAGTAGGAATGAATTTTATCATGACTAAGCATAAGGCTTAATTTAGTGAGCGTTTTTTATCTTTTGACAGCGAATATATTTTTTATTCATGAACATTCGAAATATATGAAGATTTTATGCACCCTTTAAAAGAAAAAGATATTTCTGTAAATCTTAGGAGTTTTTAGAATAATAGAGTTTTAGTATCTTATAATGAAACTATTTGTAAGTAATTATTTATGAAATAACTAATGATAATGCAGTTCAATCAGTTTAAAGTAGTTTTATCTTTAGCACTGTAAGAATCTATTCATTTTATTTACTGTGCTCGGATAAAAAAATTAGGAAGAAGAAAAATAAAGTATAAATTAAAAACGAATGAAGTGAAGAAGAGACTAAGTAATAAACGTCAGTTTAATTTGTATTAAAGCTTGTAAAAAATATTTTCGATTGACATTTGAGGGTTGGCGTACAAAATTCGCAGAAGGCGTAGCCCTATTATCATAGAATGTAGTAGAGATTTGCCCATCCTGTGAGCTCTGAATACTAACTCCTTTCAACAAAAAATAATTTTTAATTATGCAAAATACTTTTTTTTCCAGTTTCTTTATTGAATCAGTGATCATCAAGCCTTGTAATGCAAGTA